TTGTATAACTATCAAGCAGTTCAATGTTAGTTTAGGATATCTATGTAATCCATTCTTTTCTTGAGCGATGCATTGTTCAATAAGGTTTTGGACACCCTTTATAAACATCAACAGTTATGGTCATGCCTCGACAGACAAAAACATGTAATATTTGTTTCATGATTGCTGAGGACTGAATCATCCTGCATAAAATATTCTTAAACCTAGGTATAATTTTTATTGGAAGAGATAAAAACTGCAGCAAATTAATATGTTGTTCATATTTTCTGAAAATTAGGAAACACTGGCTATTCTTAAACGAAAACACTGGACACATTTCAATCAAAATTGAGGGACACTAAAGCTGTCACTTGAATGTATTTGGAAAGTATTCTCAAACCATGACCTCCAAACATATGAATATTCCAACGACACTTGATGCGACTACTCAAGAAAATTATTGCCTGCACTATGAACATAATGCATATCCTTGCACCAGTGTAGTGAAAACCTTGCTTCTGTCACTGCCAAAGGCATATGCGGGTCATTGTATGTTAAATACATGTACTGCAACATCAGGGATGCTGCATTGGTCCCTAATCTCCAATCTCTCATGCCTCTTCCCTTTTTCTCTGACATTTCATGTGGAAGATTTTTTTTAAAGACATCCCTCAGATATTTCTGAGTAATTTATGTCCTACATGTACATGTACTTTCTTTAATTCATGTGGTAGTATTTGACACTCTGAAGGAAAATTTGCATGAATATCTTCCACGCACTCTGGCAACGCTCTGGCAACGACCAAATCCAATTCACATTTGTCAGTAGTCTCCAAGCACAGACCCTGAATTAACACTTAAAAACAATTCCAGTAAGCCTTGAGCCAAGCATATGTTTTAGTCTCTCACTGTATCAAATAAAGAGGAGCTATAGGGCCTATGGAGTGGAGTAGGCTGTGCAGTCTGGATAGTCTCTCAGTTCAGACATTCTGTTACGCACTATGACAGACAAGGTTGACAAGGGTTCGTACCTGCAAACTAAGTCGTCCCTACCTGTAGGTAATGTTCTGGATTCATGAGGCATGCACCAGTGACGACCCACTCGGGAGCCACATGACATGGGATCATGTTGGTATCCGCGACATGAATCATCATCACCTTCCTAGGACTGACTTTAGGCTTGGCCTCCAGACCCAAAACATAAACGTGTAGTCTGGTTCACAGACTCCATGCCAATTGATACAGTCAAACCTGCTTTAGTGACCATCTGTCTACAAAGACCACATTTTTTGTTTCCCTTGAAAATGGTTTCTCAGAAATCGTTAAGAAGGAAATAGTAGCTTATGAAGACATCAAACATACATTTATATGTAGGCCTACAGGGATTGTGTTTGTGGTACAGACTTATAAATTATCTGTTCCATTTCAGAAATAGCATTGGACACCTAATCCTTTTCACACTGTGAAGGCCAAAGCCTTCAAGATGATCTACAATGTAGCCTCGTGCACACCCTGATGGCCAAAGCTTTCAAGATGATTTCATAAGGCTTCATCCCTGATTAAAAACATATCCCACAATGTTGGGTGAGAAAAAAACAATCCTCATTGCAATTTGAAAACATCCAAGCTGTAAAATGTGCCACAATTATCTACAAATCAAATTATAAAGAGAAATTTCATTTGGTGGTAGTTTCTATTTTGTTTGTTTTTTGCTAAATTTTTAATTGTATTTTTACTTACTTATTTATTACTTAGTTAGATCAGTTTATATATCCATTAATTTATTTTATTTATTGCTTCATTAATGTTACTTATTTATTTATTTATCTCTCTGCATATTGTACTTTGGACTGAATTATATCCTTCAATGTTGACTAGCACCTTTAAAATCACAATATTCTCTGACCACAGGTCTGACTCATTCATCAAGAATTTCCCACCACAGCTAGCACCTGAGCGACAATCACAGCGTTCTGTTTTTCACTGGTCTGATAAACAGCCAACAAACAGAGCGCAGGGTTATCCTTTACCCATATCCAGGGAAGCTCCAAAAATGACTATCTTCCCATGGAATCCCACAATGAAATGTCTCCAATTTGTCCTTCTGTTATTGTGTCCCTTTCTTCTTATGGTTGATAGAATGCTAGCAGACAGTTAATGGACAATAATCTCCCTTTCAGAACAGAAGTCTTGCCAGGAGCATTTTGTGTTGGGATAAAGATTTTGTATCAAATGATTTATGACAGTAACCAAAATTTAACCTTCACCAAGTTACATCTCAAAAATGTATTATCTTGGTATCATAACATGTAGGCCTACAATATAATATGCATCACTGCTTTTGGAAACTTTTGAATTACAAAGAGATGCTGTTAAAATACAAAAAAAGCTTCATTTTTATCAAGAATATACAGGTCCTATTTCAACATGCATTGATTGAGGTATTCTTTCCTTGTGTGTGCCCTAATTTTCATAACTTATCCTCACGCCCCCTCCTTACGCCTATACCTGTCTAGTCTGCAAATCAAATAAACTTATAAGACTACAACAAAACAATGAGACACAAATAACACTTCTGCTATTAGAACCCATACACACTTCCTACTACAGAAAACATTATCTCATCTTTTTATCAGATCACAACAAATAGCTGCTATCAGGGATGTTGTGGAAATCAGAAAAATACACTGATAAATTGGACATATCCTGAAGCCATCTTCGCAGTATCTGATGTCCGGCTAGTCCGACCAGGGATGTCTGTAAGGTCAAGTCTACAGCACATCATTGAGACACAACTGCTCAGAAGCCATACTTTCTACTCCAGAAAACCATTATCAAAAATTTGTATCAGATCACAACAAATAGCTGCTAATGCTATCGGGATGTTGTGGAAATCTGAAAAATACACCAATAAATTGGACATATCCTGAAGCCACTTTCACAGGATTTAATGTCCGGTTAGTCCGGCGGGAAACCTGCCAGGTGAAGCAAGGGGAAATTACAAAACTCCCCGGTAACCTTCAGTTTCCTTTACAACTATCAATGTACAGGTATGGCATATCAACGGACATGGACAGGAAATATCTCATAACAAGTGCGGGTTAAGGACAACCAGTAAGTTTCATAACTTTGAAGAATGGACAAAGAAAGTTTCCGCTAATGCTATTTGAGAAAGTTATCGTAAATTATTTTGTTTACTATGTATGTGTGCATGTATGCAAGTAAAAAATACTTATTCAACGAGCCTTTACAAAATTACTTATTCAAATCTACATCTACTACTGACATTGCAGACCATTCAAAATCCTTTTATTTGTAAGTCTTATGTGGGATCATAATATGCCATGTAAGAATGCCAACCGACATGTAAATGTACTTTGGAAGTCAAAACAACCATCAGGAATTTTGTTTTGAAAGCAATAAAATAGGATAATATGAAACTCTATATGGAATACAATCTATGATTGCAGTAAATACTTAATCACCCTGCTATTGTTTTGCTGAGAAATGTAACAGACCAAAAAAGTCCACAATATTTATACGGTTACACTCCATTCAACCATTGTCTTTCTTTCCGTATGCAAATTTCAAAATACTGAAATAGGACACCATAAGCAGTTCCATAAAACACCAATTCAGCTACAATCATCATTCCAGTATATATTTTTTTTCTCCCTCTAAATGTCAGGACTTTGTCTCTCGAATCTCCTTCTATTTGCTCCAAATCATTAATTTCAATGGCGCCATACGAGTCACTCGGGCCACTCACTGATCATAATGAGCATAGACAGACTGGATATCAACATCTCTCTGCATATTATCTTTCTCATATGCATCTGGTGGCCGAAAAACCAAGTGTAACCAGAAAGACGTTGACTAGAAGCGAAAGACCATTAGTTCATGCCTTTCTGGCTCTATTAAAGCAGAATATAAGATAGATTGCAGATGTCGTAAATAAAATCTGAAGAGATGTAACCTTACCCCATCTGCTTGGTATTTATCTTGATCTTGAACCCTTCTGTACCCCCCCCCCCCTCCTTTCCTTCACTAGATGAAACAGTCCCTCTGTTTTTAAGTACAGTTATTAGATAGAATTTCCCTAGCCATGAGTATCTCTCTGTTCTTGTCAATGTATTCAACCTCATTTGCAGACTGCTCGGTAGTAATGAATATAACCTTGTATCATTGCTACGATAATGTTTTATTTTATTTTTATGAACAAAATACTGGGAGAGTATGACTTTTAGACTTCAAGATGGTGCCAGTATTTACTGGGTTCATAAATCAATTTGATACTGAAATGGGAAGGTATTGTCTGGAGAAAGATATGTAGCTGTTTCCTGAATAGGTTTTCAGACTTTGATCTATCATTACACTTCACAGGTTTACCTGTCTCAGAATTTGAATATGAGTGGGCTGGAGGGTAAATATAACGAGCGGACTGTGCACATATTGAATCAATTCTGTATGAATTTTCAGGCTGGTTATTAAATGTGTAACCATGCTATACAATGTAATAATGGTCTTATGAATGCTACACTACTTATTCTATCAAATAAGTTGGAACGTATACATAGGAAGTGCCTACATGTCTTCGGTGGAGAGGCTACGTTTCCTCTCGCAATTTGTATTGTATGTTTAACACTCTAGCTCAAGATTACCACTATTTTACTCCCTTTTCAACAAAAACATTTCTTTTTAGGGGGAGGGGGACTTGTAAAGTGACATACATGAATACATGTAGGCCAATGCCCTAAATACATTATGTTCTAATATTGAAGAGAGGAAATGACTGTAAACCTTCAAGAACAATCAAATATAAACTAAATCCCATGATAGATTTGAATATCATCAGTATGCAAATCTGACATTAAAAAATAAGGTGCTGGTGATCACAAATTTTGGTGAAAATTATATAACTCAAATGATTATATTGGTTTAAATACAGCAACATGAAAATACAAGCATGCAAATAACATTTTCTCCCTTGGGCCGGGCGTGAATTGGCAAGCGAGTCTTACCTTTAGTTGACTGTCGATGATGGCTTCTAGTTCTTCTCTAAAAGCTTCGCTGTTTAGAATGAGCGAGACTCGCTTGTTACGGTCCATCTCTTTGATGTCGTTCTTGATGTGTGCCGGTCTCTGCATGTCCTTTTGGACCTCTGGATCGTCCAAGTCCAGGTTGTCGATCTCACGGTGTTTCCCGGACGACTTGCCGTTCATGGCGGGACTCTGAGGAGCTTCCTCCAGCTCGTTGGGTAACGTGTCGGCCATCTTGGATGTGTCTGTGTGTTTGTGTGTGTGTGTGGGGTGTGTCTGTCTACCAGTTATCTACCAACCTGTGAAAACAAGAAAGAAATTAATTTGTTTTATAATGTGAATATTTAATAAATGTAATAATTTTGATTACGGGTCTGCCATCCTGCTGGATGTGTGTCTGCACGTTTGTAAGGTGAGTTATTTATGTCACCAAGATATTATAAGCTACATTTTAGGAATCCTAGTTCCATCATTTGTAGAAACCCGTAAGTCCATCATATGTAAGCCTACTAGCTGTCTTCACAGTCACACCCGAAAATCGCAAAAGTTGACATCGCCACGAACATTCTCCACATCACCATCATAATATCATATTAGTTTCCATAACTACAATCATTACCATCCTCATCATTCTTACTTTCATCATCATGACCATCACCATCACCGATTCGCCAGCATCATCATCATCATCATATATCATTATCATATATCATCATCATCATCATCACCACCATTACTATAGTAAAACACCTGTCATTTTCACTTTACCAATACCATACTTCCATCAGAGAAAATCGTAATGGTGAAATAAGGAACTGCTCTGATGTTTCCACATTTAAAAAAGCATGTACACCCACCTGTCATTTTGTCCACACATCATTTACAACACTGGGTCAATGCAAGAACATTATTACAAATTATTTTTTGTAGTTTCATGCCCATGGAAAAAAATGAGAACACAAAGAAAACGCTCCACAAAAGCTCTTCAAGGCACATGTATTTGTAACCTTGAATTGTGTATATGAGTATACAATTATCAACTTTGTATGAAAGCACCCAAATCAGACAAACCTCCATACAAGTACTGAACACAAAAAGGGTGCAGCATGCATGCTCCTCCGATTGAAGGGCAAGTATATACTGCTACAGTGGAGTTTAATTTACCTCATTAAAAACACTGCACGTGTTTTCTCAAATATTGGAAAGTTTCTAATAAAATTGAATTCAATTATACCAAGAGGTATAGCTTTCAACAAGACAGAAACATATTGCCATTCAAATTAAATTGAAGGCTCATTAAAATTACAACTACAAAACATTTTTATGAGCAAATCTAACCACTATATTAATGAATTTTATCAATGATCTGGTGAGACCTACATTGTATAAAAAAAGGACTACTGGTACTCTAAATTAGGAAAAAGAAAGAAAAATGGCTAATAAAAATAAGTAATATTCATATATAGGAGTGCCAAGCACAAACCATTGAATTGAAGGTTGAGTTATGTGAAAGATGAAGATAAAAAATTGGGAGAATTTTAAATCATTTTTATGTTAGTGTGGAAGAGTATCCTAGAGGAAATGTCCCCAGAAGACAATGGCTCTTCAAACGCCCTCATATTAAAAATATGACAAGTTATAACTAAAGGTTGTGGACCGCAACCTTCATGCTACGTATAATGTATTCCCTAATATACACATTTCTGTGTACATTAACAGTTGTTGCATGTGACCTAAAGCAAAACTGGGCCAATTTCTTATCATTTTGATGATTCCAAAAACCTCACAGTATGTACACAAATACTGTTCTGCGACATGATCAGCCTTTTACAATCCTTTCCACATATATGTTTTCACAATGCAATATTGCAATCACATGACAAGAACTCAACTTAATCTTGAGAGTGTAGAATTTCAGATTTCAGATTTTAGATTTCTTGACAGTAGGAGAGCTCCATCTGAACAAAATCTTGTTTTAATTCTTTTCATTTCCTAGGATCATCCCCTATCAAGATTAGCCATTATCTGACAAGGGCTTATAAACCAGGGCAAACATACCCTGTGTTTGATCTTGCCATTAAATCAAGTTGATAAAGTTAGTTTGCAAACAGATTTCAATGCCCAAACAACATCTCTGCACTGCTTGGTGGTATTGTAGCAGAGCATACGAATGGAATGTGTAGTTCTGTGTTGTTTTTCTAACATCACTAATTTTGATTTGTATAAGAAGACACAAAAAGTGCCAAGGACTAGGAGACATAAATTTCATGACAGAGACTAAAATATTGAGCTGTTCTAAAGAAAATACTGGATGCATTTCCGTTAGTTTCAATAATGTTCAATTTCATCAAGCCTCATCATGCTTTCAAACAGAGAAGACTAAACATTAGGCAGTATGCTGGTCTACCATCTTCTACAATCAACATCACACTGGCTTCAGTGCACAATGAAATACAAGAAAAGAAAAACTACAGGCAAGTCCAATTCTCTCAAAATTATGCATCATCGAGTAGCAAGTATGAAAGTTGTCTGTCAATCAGTTCATTTTTTCCATTTTACAATTCAAAGTTTGACAAATCAAAGCCCTGAGCCAGGCCAACAGGTAGAGACCGTGCAGCGAGCCGTGCACTTTACTCTGACTCCAATTCTTATCTAGACAGATACTGAAATGCAATCCAACGACCGACAGACTGGTCACTACATGTATATACTCCTCGTACCTTCGCGTCTGACCAGTATCTCCTTTCGCCAGGTAAATACATGTACCCGGTATGCAAGTCAACCTACAAATATCTCTCATCACCCCCTCGTCCCCTGTCAGTCTTGTAACAAAAACACACAAGGAATACAAGCTCTGGTGTCTCGACCGACATGGATTCAGAACCATCCATCAGAAATGTTCAGATGTAATCATCCCATTCAAGACTGGCCTCATCGTCCTGTCAATTGTGGTCAGTCACACAGCCAACAGTAAAACACACAATATACCGAAAACCTCATGTAACAAAAATTTAGCAAGACAAAAAAAAAAGGATGTGTAAATCACACAGACAGTTTGTAACAATTCAAGATGAATTTATAATCAAAACAAATATATATTATGCTAGCTAATGTACTGATGAGAACACTTTGTGAAGTAAGTTTCATATGATTTTCCCCTCATCCTTAATATTCTATAATAATCATCTGTTGATTTCATAGCTGAAATGATTTTTCATCGCCACACGCATACAGTACACACACATCTTACACAGCATCACAGAATGGTGAAAAACAAACATGAAGGCTTTATCTCCCGCCATTGCAATCAATGTTGTCTGCATCTCCGCACATGTTCAAGGTCATCAACAGCTTAGCCCTCAATCACCACAAAGGATTCCTGATCAATACCGACCACATTCGCTCTCCAAGCTGCTTCGTTCTATGAATGGGGCCGATAAAGAGCTTCAATGGAACTGAAGGAGCACACGGCATGTGTGCAGACTAGACTAGATAGTTGTGTTCTCATTGAAAATGCTATCGTTTTATACTAATCTTCAAGAACTACATTTTCTAGTAGGTGATGTGTAACCTAAAATATTGCGGGCGTAAAACTATTTGGAATTTTGTGAGCGGTAAAGGTTCGCAAAAGTATTCACACCATGATTAAATTCACTATCATACGATCATGAAACTATGTATTTAAGCAATCCACAAAACTTTCTTGCCTCCATACATGTTATGGCTGACACACGCTAACACACACATGTCGCAAAGGTTTCAGGTCATAAAAATTCTTGTCTAGTAACTATCAAAGAAAATATTGTATATCATGCATCCCAGAAAAGGTATCATATGAAAGAGCAGAAAATGAACTTTCTAGAAATATGAATTTTTCTTTGAAATTCAGATACCGCCCGCCAAATTACTTTTTGGTTTCATTCCTTCAAATTGCTTTTAATCACTCATGCATGAAATATGCATCACATGAATAGCATCAACTGAAAGAGGAGACTCTAAGCTTTCCAAATATGTATCATTCATTAATTATGGTTGTGATTAAGTTATGATAAGACATCGATACTTCTCGGTTTCGTTATTTCTGGGACGCACTGTACATACAAACACCTGAGTAATCACCCAGGTATCTTACTAATAAATGTTTCCTGTTCACAGTTTACAAATCTTCACAAATTAAATTTTATAGAACTAATATGTAGAGTGAACCCAGCTGTTTCATCCTTTTTACATGTATCACAACTAGCATGGATGATAAAGAGCATGTCTTTCAGAGCAGACGGTGCCCTTGGAAAGAGCATTCAGCCACAGACATGCTTTCTGTTCACACTAACAAATCTTCACAGATTAAACTTAATACAACTTAAAATATTGTGTGAACCCAGCTATTTCATCCATACACGTATCACACCTAGCATGGATGATAAAGAGCATGTCTTTCATAGCAGACGGTGCCCTTGGAAAGAGCATTCAGCCACAGACGTGTGGTCACGATTTCACTATTTCCATACTTCTGATGAAAGAGTGGGCATTTAAATGTCCTCCAGAATTTCAAACTGCTAGACACGAGGAGCTGCAACTACAACAATAATATTCAATAATGTAAATGCACAACAGTTTGAATGATGTAACATCAATTGCAGTCTCCCCAATTTTGACTGGTTTAGACTCTTTTCCTTTCCTTTTTTTTTTTAAATACATGTACATGTACATGTATATCTCTCCTTGTTTTATTCCACACATTTGTAATGAGAAATGGAGCTTTAGATTAAGGCAATCAGTTTTCCAACCTCAGCATCTAATAAATCACTTCGAACAATACCACGCTTAAATTAACCACATGTATTTAAATAAAGAAGAATAGCAGGTACATTGTATGACTTTCTCCATCAGGCCCATGTAACAATATCCATGCATCATTACACTATTACAATTTTAAAATAGATTGCTATAATTCTCTTATTTTGTGTCATACGAATAAAGCATTTACCACATGCATCAATAAGGGAATATTTTTTGTTCTTCATCAATCACGACTTTGTACTGGTCTATCCTCCAGTGTAAACACACCTTTTTATCTGAATCTGACAATTTTCACAGTTATCTTAAAGATGACCATTCGGTAGAGCCAGAAACAGTCTGTGCATGCCAAATCCTATTCCACATTTAAACAACGATGGCTGCTGCATGCATAATAGTTACCGCACTACGAGAGAGAAGAGCGTGATGCTATGTGGCAAGGTTACAAAGATAGTTTTCTGTCAGCATAGCATGGCCGATAAATCACACAACACATACCCCC